TTGATTTAAAATTTTTATAATTTTTTTATTTTAAAATACCTTACAAGGATTTGACATAGTAATAAGTCCACCGATTCTTAAAATCATGAATCTAATTTAAACTGAATAAAAATAAAACTTGTTTGAATGTTTTGCCAAAGAGTTAAGATAAATGATTTAAAATTTTCGAACAAACATAAATTGTTCTTTTTATCCAATTACATATATAATGAATAGTTGTCTAGTCGGTTAAACTTCAATCTTTCACATTAGGCGTAAAAGGTTTTTATCTTGCTCGTCCAAATAATTTTTTACAAATTATTCTTAATTTATTTTATTTTTTCAAAAAAAATTCAAATTTAGATTAATTTTTTAATATGCATTTTAATTTCTCACACAATTAGTGTAATTTTGATATTAAGTATAGAAAATTCACGCAAAAATATAATATTTTAATCACAATTTATCTAAAAAAATTATGATAATTTAGTACTTGTCTTCCATTAGACGAGCCAAGTCGTTTCTACTTAATTTTTGCGGTTCTTTTGTTAAATTAGATGTATTGTAATCATTAATCCTTATGATTTTATTTATTCCTAAAATATAGATGTCAGTATGTGTTTAACGTTGATAATGTTAATCAGTTGTGGCTTGTGGTATCGCACTTCCTATTAAAATTAATTAAAAGAAGAAAATTAGTTGAATATTCTTAATTCTACATTTTCAAAAAATATTTTTTATTTTAATTTTTAAATAGTAAAATAGTTATGACACATTTGTCGTCTGCGAACATTAAAGTTGTTTCTCTCAGATACCAGTAGTACATGCAAGTACGCATACTCACACGAGTAGTGTTAGGACGACCGACAGTATGGTCCATACGGTATAATATTAGTATATGACTATACAAAGTGATCGGCTAACTATGTCGTACGTAATATCATTAAAAATACAATTGTTATAAACAATTTTTTTTTTACTCATTATGAATCTTTGATGAGATGTTTCACATGAAAATTTAAATCTCTACCACCATCTCTTATGCTTAAAACTTGTATCAACTTATTATTTTCAAATAGCAACCCTATTTTTTTTTTTTTACACTATTAGACTTAGATTACTAAAAAAAAAAGGTTTTGTAAAATAAATATTTAATTTTAAGCGCTCCACGGCTCTCTAAAAGTTTAGGGTTTATTATGAAAAAATCATAACAGACTCGAACGGTCGTAAATCGATAAGCGCTACCAGTTTTAAGTATAGACTACGTGCGTTGTCAAAGTAAATCGGTAGCTCTTATCACTACATAAAATAATAATGTGACCGTGTTGTAAATCTACTACACTTTTTCTTCAGATATCGTAAATTTTAAAGTTACGTATCTTGTTTAAAATTCATAATTTTTTTTTTTATGATGTACAAAAATATATAAAAATAATATGGGTTGCCATTTGAAAATCTGAAGTTGATGCAAATACTAAGTATAAGGGATGATGACAGGATATTAATTTTTTTTGTGAAAAAGCTTATCAAAGATCCATAATGATTAAAAAAAAATTGATTATAGCTCTTGTATTTTTTTAGATATTACGTAAAACATAGTTAGCCGATCTCACTTTGTATTGGGTAATTTATTTTTAGAATTTACTGTGTGTACGCTCGTCGTTATCGGTTGTTATAATAGTGTAATCGCTATTATTATTATTACTATTTTCTACTGCGACCTTTAAAATAATGATATGTGTATGAATTTATTTTATTATATTTAATTTAACGTTTTTTTATACCTATGACTATCGGTATTATATTTAAAGTCGCATGCCCGTTATTTTTTGTCTTATACTTTTACAATATTTCTTGTACATAAAATTATATCATATCAAAAAATATTAAAATTTATCAAATACATAGAGGAACTTGTGGTAAAAGTGCGTACTATATTATATGGTATTTATGAACAGTTAAAAAATTTTTAAGGCTAGACAACTATCAAATAATACAATTAAGTATTAATAGTAGAATTAAAACTCTATTGAATGAGTAAAGAGCTAAAACAAAATGAAAAATATAGGCATACTTATACCCCATTGATTGGGTAAATGATTATTTAAAATTCAAAACAGTATTGTAATTATTAATTACATGTAAAGTATCATGATATATATGATATTCATGTACAGGGTTCATCCCAAAAGTAATGAGCCTTTGTTCAGAATCACACTTTTATTGATTATAACGCTACAAGCCATCAAAAGTCTTCGAAATACTCTCCTCCCGCGTCAATACACCGCTGGAGGCGGCTTTTCCATGCCTCGAACGCTCCCCGGTAGGCATCTTCCGTAACTTCTGTCAGGATCTTCGTCACGACTGCTTGGATGTCTTCAATGAACTGCCAGTGATGTCATTTCAGAGCTATTTTCATTTTTGGAAATAAAGACAATGAGCATGGTCTTTGTTTTCGACTTGCTAATGCGCACCTTTTTGGGACGCGGTGACGAGGACGTGTGTCATTCAGAACTTTGTCACTTCGATTCAGGGTCATACTCAAAATACCACGTTTCGTCACCAGTGATCACGTGGTCCATGAAGTCTTCATACAAGTCGAGGAATTCTTGGGATCGGAGCACTCGAATCGCTTTTTGTTTGTCAGTCAATTTTCAGGATACAAGCTTGGCGCACACCTTGCGCATGGCCAATGCCTCAGTCACTATGCGATGTACTGTTGATTTTGGCAAGTTGAAGGCTTCTGAAACTTGGTTACACTGAGTCGACGGTTGGTGTTCAAGCAATCGTGCACACGTTCCACATTGGCGTCTGTCCGCGAAGTTGATGGGCGCCCTGACCTTGGTTCGTCGGCGACGTCCTCTCTGCCCTTCTTGAACGCCTTGTGCCATTTCTTAATTTGAGAACTGGACAGACAATTATCCGGGAAAGCCGTCTGAAGCATTGAGATTGTCTCAGTAGCGATTTTTTCCAGCCGAAAACAAAACTTGATTGCGTAACATTGTTCAATCGTTTTTTCCATGACGACGCTTAGAAACTTCCTTCAGGGGAACTCACGTCCTGTCGCTTCCAGAGCTCAGAGCGAAATGCGGCCGGCCTGCAGTAGTTCGTTAGGGTTCCCCCACTCTTCCTGACCGGTCATAGCGCGCTGGATTGTTTAGTCGCGTCAGAAAAAGATGAGGCTCATTACTTTTGGAATGAACCCTGTATATCATTATTTGGTACATGGTAAATTTCAATTAAACTTTGATTTACCTGTCTGATATATGATTAAGGTCATTTGTTGGCTCATTCGTAGCACAATACTATGCCATGAACCCACTGTGCTATAGTTTTAAATATCACGTTTAAAAGTAATCAAAATATTTTGAGACATTTTATTGGTTTTATTATTAAAAGTATTTGTTCGAATGTTTTAAATTGAGTTTTATCAGAAACTTAGCATTTCGTTTCACAGAACTACAATTATTATTATAAATTATTTTTCAATAAAATTATTTTTAATACATATACGTTGCTTGTGAAGTGCTCACGATTGACAAACAATGAAAATTTTAATAAAATTCATCACAATTTTCTGCATATTTTATTACTCCAAGTCTATTGCAGCAGAAGCGGTAATTATATTTTAGAAAATACCAATAAGTAGCTATTGATTTTAAACAATTTAGATATTTATTAAACCAAGTACTCAATCTAAAAATTCAAATAATTTTAAAGTATTAAATAAGATGAAGATTATAATGATAATAGATCTTTTAATAAATACGTTTTCGGTCTCCTGAAAAGAAATTGATTTTTTGATTATAATTAGTCCTTATACATGTCTCAATTATTAAATATCTAGTAATATTAATTAATTGGTTTTCAAGGTATCAGAAGCGTAAAAGACCGAAATTTCAGTTTTTTTGACTGTGAACTGAACAAAATATTTATTATAAAATAAATTATTAATGAAAATTAATTTATAATTAATCAGAGGCAATATTTTCTATCTTATTTAATGTTTAAAATTTCTAAATACGTTTATTATTAATAATTTTAATTCACGAGTCTGAATATAAATTGTATAGAAATAGTTTTTTTATTTGAGATCATTTTTAGCTTCGATGCTAGTTGATATGATATTAGTTTTCTTTAAAAATATCGCCATATTTTCTTAGACATTATTGTAACAATTTTTTTGAACTATACATAAAATGTTCATAAGTCGTGTTTAGTTAAACATATCACCTTCAAAAAATGAAAATATTTCCCTCGTTCCCTGGAAATAAGGATATCCTTAAAAAAATTCCAATTTCTTAGTATCAGAAATTTTCTATGCTTCTAAAAATTTTTTTTATAACTGCCATTAATATTTAAAAATTAATAAATCAAAATATTTTTTATAAATATTCAAGGTATTTACCTTTCATTAGGCATTTATTTTTATTGAAAACCTGATACTTGTCCTGCCCACGGTAGGAATTCAAAAGAGCAGGTGAAAAAAGTAAAGTAAATCTTCTCAACTTAATTTTTAAAAATGTTCCAGTATTACTCCGATATTTAAACATATGTTAAAGTAAACATTGTTAATATATTTTCATCGAAGCGTATGATAGTAATTTTATATTATTGTCAAATATCATCTACACTTGTTTCAACTATGTTGTGACGTCACTGTCCTAGGGTTTTTAATAATGAAACTATAATTGGTTTGTGGAGTAAGGGCTGGCTCTAACTTTTATGGTAATTAAGATAGATTAATAAATGTTTTGGAGATATATAAAAAATTTTAGAATGTAACAACCGGGTATGGAGCCTGAAGTAAAATGTCCCAATAAGCGTACAATCTTTTTAAACAAATATCAGTAATTCTCCGTTATTAAAAGTATTAAGATGTGAGTTAAAAAGTAGGACATTTT